ACACACACATACACACACACACACACACACACACACAGACAGACAGACAGACAGACAGACAGACAGACAGGAACAGAGACGCAGAGAGAAAGGGAAAAAGTGGTAGAAAATGTATTAATTAAATAGTCAATTTAACAGAGAGAATGGAAGCCATACTACACAGAAAATAATATATTATTATAAAACACTTACATAAAGAGCACTCATGGTGTGTAGAACAACCAGTCCCAAACGATGACCCAGTTTGTTAAACTTCTTGGTGAAAGTTGGTGCCCTACTACACACAATTAGATCAACCGGACTATGGTGTAGAGGCAATTATATAGGGACTTTGTCGTCTCAAGCAGAAGACCTGAGTTTGATTAGCGTGTGGGGAGAAGTTTGATTGAATATCTCCGTCTTTCTTCTTGAATGTCATAAGGTGCAACCTCTCAACCCGGGCTCGATATGACAGGCAGGATCGAAGCAGCCCACCTTCAATTAATGACCTTAATTGTATCAATGAGGGAGCAAGATTACTTATAATAAAAATATATGTTATCTTAAAACACCCCCTTTGGTAATTACGGATACTGCACATTATGGGGCAAAGAGTAAAGCGTATTGAGATAGACATGAAATAAACGCACAAGAACGAAGCAGAAAGGATGTACAATAATTGAACCTGTCCTAGACGACAACCATTGTCAAGGAGAAAAGAGGTCAGCGTAGAGAGGTGGGCATTTTTTTTTTACGCAAGGAGTGGGGGGCCTGGCGAGAAGTTGTCATTTGTACAGGTGATTGTCTTAGGCAGGACCAGGTGATTGTTAAATTAGGTTTGACTGAAATTTGATATATAGTACTCCTCTTCATTTGAGAAGGAATGTTCACATGTTGTAAAATTGTAAATGTTATTCTATCGTTAAAGGGGTTCCCCACCCTGCTAATGTATGCTGAGTTTATCTATCAACTCTTCCCTACTGGGGTTGGGGTGCGGGGACGAGGAACTGGGAAGGGGACATGGGAGGGATAATACACAAATGTTCCTTTGGTTTATAAATAATAGTAAAGTTTTCTTTAACTTGGTGCATAAGGGTTTTAGAGACATGGATTTCTGACCCACTTTTTTCTTTTAAAATCATGAGCTAACGACAGGCCCAGGAAAAGTCCTTTGAGCCAAGAATAATATTTTTAAAATATTCGAACCCATTTCGCTTTCATTTTAGTCCAGCGTTTTGTCAACAGGGCAATATAGAAGCACAGTGCCTCTTGCCCTGACAACGTCCACTTATAATCTGCTGTCTCAAGGCAAAGTGACGTATCTGACAAAATCTCTTCTTTAAAGCATAGTTTTATTGGTTTATTTCACTTGCCTTGCCCATACACTACGTGTGTTGAAGGCAACACGATGTATAATATACATTCGAAACAGACGTTTTCAAAGTAGTACGTGAGTGACTTATCTCAACAGAAAAAGTCAAAAATGTTTTTTTTTTTTTTT